CATGTAGTGACTTATGTACTTGGCCTCAATAATATGATATCAATACTTTTTGTTAGAGGAATTCACAGCAATCCTGTACTTGGCGTAGTTTTTTACACGTAAATGTTTTTTGGGAGATATATAATAACCGCGTCATGTAAGAATGTAATCATACAGTGATTTTTTATAAGTATTACGTGCTACGTTAACTCGAGAAATTTCTATTAAACTGGGAAAATATGAAAATTTGGTTGTCATGAGCATAAGGATCTCGTAGAAAATCTACGAGTAGCTGATGAAATATTCAACATCTGTCAATGACCACCAGTAGTGTCCAATAAACAATAGGTGAAATAATACTTAGCAGCCGTACTGTAGCACTCCATATCCCTCAGACAAAATTACGTCGGAGCGTCGATAATGCGATAGCAAGGGTGAAAGGAGGCGTGCATTGACGTCACAGGGTGGTCAGCACTGCTCTCAGTTTTCCACTCTCGGTTCTCAACTGAATTGAACTGAACTGAACTCAGCTGAGTAGCCATGGATCGAACTGACGAGCTGAACTGACTCGAGAACACGGCTACATTACTTTGAGCATGCTCCAAATCCTGTAAGTCATTCGGACGGAAAGTAGGCATGTCTGTCGATCTCTTCTGGTGCTTGGTTCTTGGCTTCCTTCTGGTATTTCCATGAATCGCTCTCGCTATTGTTGGTTTAATAACTTGGTTTAAATTTGCAATGAGTTAAGAATTTAAAGTTTCGATTTTCTGTTCCCAGCAGAATGTCATCTTATTTTCTCCAAAGAGTGTAATATGTAACAGTCATTTGTCATACGTGGAAGTAAATTTGTGTCTTTATTGTTTTTGGTTCACAGTAACGCGACAAAATATATGATTTTATATGTATGCAATCTATATATAGGCTGATATAACATTGTTTTAAAGAAGACGATAATAGTCCTCGCAAATGCAACGATGTTGCAAATATAGTTTAAATGCGAACATATATCACGATGCTCTTGTAACGAAACGAATACCCCAATGCGAAAGAAGGGGATTGTATAACAGTATGAGTTGGAAATGGAAGGGACTCTTTGCATTATGTGCCATTGAAGGATAGCCCTTTAAAGTGACACTGATATGAGATAACAACTGTGAATATTTTATTAGGTTGCCGGATAAGAAAAATACATATCTGTAAAGGATCTATTGTCTTACGATTTGATTAAAATACGGCTCCTGAGACTCAGCCGTACTTTTTTCATAGACTTTCTAGCACCGGTGAAGTACGCTGAAAGTATAATAAAGTTTGTATTTAATCTAAATTGTAAAATATACTTAAAATAGTATAGAAAATTCTTAAATAGATAAATTGAATGAAATTCATTGCTTTTATTAACTATAATAACAGATAATTTTTCAAACATGAAAATATGTAGTCATCTTATGATTATAAAAACAAAACCAAAACGCCCTTTTCGTTGGATTTTATCAAATCGTGTTTTAAAACTACATCGGTTTAAGAAAAAAAAATCTCATTCTAGGTGGTCCATAGATTGGTAAAAAAAGACGCAGCCGAACCTCTTTATAAATTATTTTCGAGAAATTCTTTAACAATTATAGAAAGACGATGCTCTTTTTATTAAAGATTTAGAAAATATTTTTGCTCTTGTGCGATCAAAGATTATATTTGGAACTTGTGATCTCCCTACAAAAGCTTTATTCATTAATATGACACAATATAATGACATATGTGTATGGTTATCACAAATATAAAATTCGTAACGTGAAATATAATAATCGTCGAGTATATCCGTAGATACGTAATTTACCTAATCGAACCACAGAGGACAATAAACTTTCACTCACCAAGCTTTTAGAAAAAACGAAGTGATAAAATGTGTCAAAGATCCTACAGTTCTCTCTTATATTTGCCATGATTTTAGTAAAACTACTTCCCTGAATAAGATGCATTGCATTTATTCAAGTATTATAAAAAAATCTAATAACTCTTTAGTTTAACTCGACCTTTTGAAAAGCAAATTAATTAAAAGTATTTCTACACTATTATTCCATACCAGTTTTATATGATATCGTGCCAGTAACGTATCTCGATCATTACAAACTTCTAGTGTTTGCAATGACTATCTTAAATCGTCTCTGAAGCTCACCGGAAATTTCTGACTAGACTTATAATATTACATGGTGAATAGTACATGACCCATAATTTACATCCTCTACTACATCTTCCAGAAAATGAAAAAAAAAACTTCTGCCCACTGTGGACAACTTCGTGTTTTCTCTTTGAAAATACCTGTCTATGTGGAGTAAATTCTAAGAGTATCTTTCGAGA